ATATTTTATGAACATGGGATATACCAAATACTACGGGACTGATACAGAACATAGGATATATTGGGGGAATAGAAAATTGGAGAAATCGTATTTTTGATCAAATTTTGTGGTCCCCTAATATGTATATTCCATTTTCGATTTCGGTTCTCTAGTATATGGTATGTTCTATCTTCATAGGAGATACTAGGGTACTACAAAATCGGGTCATCATACATACACACACTAGGATACTAAAATATATTTTCGTTGATTTTTCGGTTCCCCAATATATCCTATGTTTGTTTTCGGTTGCCTAGTATATTCTATAAATATAGGATAGCCTATACACAAGGGGACCGAGAACGAACATAGGATATACTAGGCAACCGAAAAATCAACAAAATATGTTTTGGTCGACTATCCTATATTCGTTCTCGGTACCTTAGTAGGTCCCACAAATGCAGAATATACTAAGAAACAACGAAATTTGAAAAATCAGATTTTTGGTCCCCTAGTAGGTTCTATGGTCGTGTATCTGAGTGTGTGGTACCCTAGTATAGGTATGTCCTATGTTCAAAAAAACGGAACATTGAATATCGATCAAACCAGGGGACTGAAAATCCAATTTTTCTAATTATGTGGTAACCTAGTATATCCTACGCTCATATTCAGCCCGCTAGTGTATCCTATGAATACGAAATCAAACATAGGATATAGGATGTACTAGGAGATCACAAAATTTGAGAAATCGGACTTTTGGTTCCCTACTATGATCGATGGTCGATAATCCGATTTTGTGGTCTTCTAGTACATGCTATGTTCGATTTTAGTCTGCTAGTATATTTTATGAACATGGGATATACCAAATACTACGGGACTGATATCGAACATAGGATATATTCAGGGAATACAAAATTGGAGAAATCGTATTTTTGATCCAATTTTGTGGTCCCCTAGTATGTATATATGTATATTCGATTTCGGTTCCTTAGTATATGGTATGTCCTATGCTCATAGGATAATACTAGGGGACCACAAAATTGGATCATCGTACAAATGGTGTACTAGGGTACTAAAATAGATTTTCGTTTATTCTTCGGTTCCCCAATATGTCCTATTTTCGTTCCCGTTTGCCTAGTATATTTTTCAAATATAGGATATCCTACATACTAAGAAACCGAGAACGAAAAATCAACGAAAATGTGTTTTGTCGACTATCATGTATTGGTTCTCGGTACCTTAGTAGGTCCTTTAAATGTAGAATATACTAAGAAACCACGAAATTTGAAAAATCGCATTTTTGGTCCCCTACCATGCTCTATGGTCAAGTATCCGAGTCTGTGGTACCCTAGTATAGGTATGTCCTATGTTCAAAAGACATACTAGGGGCCCAGAAAACGGATCATCGAATATCGATCATACCAAGGGACCAAAAATCCAATTTTTCAAATTTTGTGGTCCGCTAGTATATCCTATGCTCGTATTCAGCGCTCTATGAATATTAGATATTCCACATTTAACTGGATCGAAATCAAACATAGAATATACTAGGGGATAAAAAAATTTGAGAAATCGGACTTTTGGATGGCCGATAAACCGATTTTATGATCCCCTAGTATATCCTGTGTTCGATTTCAGTCTGCTAGTATATCTTATGAACATGGGATATACTATACACTACGGGTCTGATATCGAACACAGGATATATTCGGGGACTACAAAACTAGGAAAAATCGTATTTTTGGTCGTCATATACTAAGGAATCGAAAGTGTACATAGGATATACTGCAGAATCACGAAATTTGAAGAAGCAGATTTTTGGTGCCCTTGTATATCCTATGTTCGATTTAGTTCCCCTAGTATATGATCTACTCTACATTCGTAAGATATACTACAGAACCAAAATCAAACATTGGCTATAATAGGGGACCACAAAATCTGACAAATAGGACATTTGGTCTCCTACCATATCCTATAAACATAAGCCATACCATATGCTAGGGGATTGAAATCGAATATAGAAAATACTAGGCGACCACAAAATCGGATTATCGAACGTCGAGCATACTAGGGAACCAATACTTCGATTTTACGAATTTTGTGTTCGTCCTCTGTATATAGGCAACCAATGTTCATATGATATACAAGAGGACCACAAACGAACATAGAAAATACTAAAGACCAAAAATTAAAAAAAAAATCGGAATTTTGGTAGTATGTCTGATGTTCGATGATCGATTTTGTGGTCCCCTATGTTCCATCTTCGATACAGCCAATTTTTTATTCCGCTAGTATGTCGAGTTTTGTAGTCCCCTAGTATGTGTTATCTTAGATGGACACCACAAAATCGGCTGCATGGAGATAGAACATACAACCGGATAATTGGACATACTAAGGGACCGAAAAACCAATTTGTCAGATTTTGTGGTCCCCTGGTATATTCTATGTACAATGTTGGTCCCCTAGAATGCCCTACGTTTCTGTGAGCCGAAGTTTTGTGGATCCCTTCTATGTCTTGTCTTTGTTGCATCCGAGTTGTGGTCTTCTACTATATTCTATGTTCGTTGCGTCGAATTGTGGTCCCTAATATGTCTTATGTTCATTGAGCCGGATTTTTTATTCCACTAGTACGGCCTATGTACGATGAGTCGAATTCTGTGGACCCTTAGTACTCCTTGTTTTTGATGCATCCGATTTTGTGATCTCTTAGTTTGTCTTATGTTCGATAGGACGGATTGTCTGGTCCCCTAGTACCTTCTATGTTCGATGAGTCGAATGTTGTGGGTCTCTAGTATGTCCGATGTTCGATGAATCGAATGTTGTGGATTCTTTGTATGTTCTGTCTTTGATGAATTCGATTTTCTGGTCCCCTATTATGTTCTATCCTCGATAAGTTACATTTTGTGTGCTCTAAAATGTCGCATGCTCCAGCGGGAAAATTTTGTGAACCGCTTGTATGTCCTTTTGTTCCCCTAGTGTATTTTTTGTCCGATCATTCGATGTTGTGGTTTTCTAGTACATTTATGTTCGACGAATCAAGTTTTATTATCCCCGAGAATGTTCTATTTTTGACACAACCAATTTTGCAATTTTGTAGTTCCGTAATACGCCCTGTGATCGATGAGTCGAATTTTGTGGTTATGTTCTATGCTTTATGTCTGTTATCATCAACGAAAATAAAGGCTACTTACTTATAAAACAAGTAAGTGTAGCTAGGTTGGCCGAGCAGTCTAAGGCGTTAGATTTAAGCTCTGATTCTCGAAAGGGAGCGTGGATTCGAATCCCACACCTGACAGTTTTTTTGGCGATGACAAACGTTCGATAAAAAGTAAACAATACAAAAGTAAACAATAAGGACAGACTCATAAACTACATGACCAGATTTAAATATATTATTTTATAAAATTTAAATAGAAATGACTGAAACATTTTGGTTAGCGTTTCATCATCTACACGATATTCCTAACATAAATATAAAATTTCATAAGAAACAGTCCAACCGTTCAGGATATTCTCTGTCTAATAAACTCGCCAACAGACAACAGACAAACAAAAACGGCAGACCTATTTTTTCATCCCCTTGGAGTTATGAAACGTCGGGAAGTAAATTCAGGATTATGTAGACAATTCCACAACACAGAACAGACATCAAACAGTACAAAGTTACTTCACCTTCATAATTAGATTCTCTTCGATTGAAAACAACTCCCACTGCAAGTCCATCGATGTAAAGGAGTTGCAGCGTAAGCAACTCCTCCGTTCGACTCCTGCTAAAGCAAGGGGCGCTAATGACAATATTCGCGCTTGGACGATCCCCTGTATGTAATCAACCATCACCAACAATACCCTTCTTTAGCGCTCTCGTCGATACAAAAGAACAAGAGCATGTGGTTCATTCAGCTCTGGTTAACTTAACCGGAAATGCAGCGCATAAATTCCGGCAGTAATGGCGAACTGAGGGCGAAAATTCTTGAATCTACCTGACGGTAAAGAGTTAACGTCAATTTCAATTTTAAATTTAGTTAAACTGCTTGAAGGTGCTCGTTTATTTGACTGTGGCGGTATTGTGGAGTGGAGAGTGTGAGCAACCCTTGTTTGTATTCCTTAGGAGAAGTGGGAAGTTAAATTGGTGTGTGGAGTGATATGGGGTGGCGGCGATAACAGCTACTGGAGATTTTTTCCTTTTAAGAACAATACGGAAATGATACGGTCTTATTGTTTTAATAAATATGTTGCTTATATGCCCTACAGAATGTACAGAATTTTCCACAAGAAAAGAGTCATTTTATTCTGTTAGTTACAAAATAACAGTCTGACAAATTTCGCTTTTAGGAAAATGGATATTAAAGGAAAATTAAACTGGATAATATTATCTAGCCCTATATTGATTATAATAAATTATAGTGGACTACTTTCTCCTTGATTAAATTTAACCCGTCGCATATATTCTAACTTTCCAGAAATATGATTTAGTTTCAGTTTGACAGGAGTTATATTTCGGGTGAAAAAAGCCCCAACGAACTTAACGTTAGTAAATTTTTTTAATTTTCTTTGAGAGGGTGCGTTCCACCTGCCCACTCGATACCTACAATTAATCGCTCACCGAAACTCTCTACCCCAACATTTCCGTCCGAACACGTGCCGCACCCACAGAGATTTCTACCCTTTGAAAAAATCTCCCCGAATTAAACAAAACGTTATTAACTCCATCAAAAGAACAGGCAAATTTCCGCTTTTCCAAACAAACAGTCCGCTTTTAATCACGAAACAACGCGGTGTTGACGGTTTCAAAAATAATACCGATTGATTGAGCAGTCGGCCAAGATTGGATAAGGAGCATTTAAAGAATTAAGTCAAGTCCCACCCTCGACAAATCAAAGTATCGGCGAAAGAGCAAGAGGGATGAACGCGAGTGGAAGTCGGACGGAGATAGACGCAGTCTCGTGGCTTTATGGAAGCACATGAGTGGTGTCAGGAGTAATTTAGATGATGTACGTCAGTCAGTTTAACTTCAGAATTTGTTCAAGGAAGAAGTGAGTTGAAAGTTTGCGGACGGTGTGGGCTGTGAGAAATGGATGAAGAAGGGGCGAAGCAAGAGAGGAGTTTAACCGGCTCGGTTACGCCGTTTTCGATCAACGATATTTTGAGCAGGAAATGCAAGGACGAGATGCAGGAGAAGGCGTTGGATATGTCGAAGGCTAGCAAGGAGGCGGCAGGTAAGAAGTGTTTTTTGGATTGGAGAGGCTTACATTTTTAGAATTCGTTTTGCGTTGAACGAGTAGAGGTTTTTGCGGTTATCGAGTTCGTAATTTTCACTTCCTCACTTCGATTTATTATACACAGTAAAAAATGGCTTGCTAAATTTAATAAAGGAACGTAGGTAGCATAAACCCGAAACTATTTCTAGCAAAACTTCCAAAAATAGTGACAACGAAAATATTGTTCAAGTATTGTTAAAATAGTTTAAGAAGAAAACACAATTCGTAACTTATTTTGCACATTTCAAACTTTCAAAGTGTGAATTTTGACAATGCCAAGCATTATTTTATGAAATTTTACTGCAGTGTTTTAATTCAATTTTATTTTCTAATTCTACAATTAATATTTTTGTTAATCGCTTTTACTGACTCCATAACCAGGTGTATTCTATTTTTGTAATAAACAAATAATAAAACTTTGATAACCGTTTTATATTAACTTGTCCCCTCTGGTTTGAACATAACGTAGATAAGACACGAACAATTTTGTCGGTTTGAGTATGAACTGGAAAATTAAGAGAAGTTAAAAGTGAGGTTAGTCATTATTAAAGTGTCAGTTTTTATTTTATCATTTTTTTGGGCGTGAAGTGGAATAGCATAGGTAACTATGCACCACGTGTAAAAAGTTTACATTAGACCTATTAATATCGTCAGAAGCAGACATTCTTTCCATAAAAGATATCAAGGATAGTTTAAATTTTCGTGGTGTTTTAGACGGCAATTTATTTAAACCCTCTGTATTACAAATTGCGGTTCAACTTTAACCATTCTGTCATTTCTGGAGAAACAGAATTCGATCTCATTTGTATTTACAACATGAGCTTTTCTTCATGTCTATTTCAAACTTGAGAATTACAGGTTGTAAATGCCGATTTCTAGGTACATGATTTTGGACGTTTCATGGCCTGTAGAATACGAAACAATAGATCTGCCATTTCCGTCTATCTCTCTATCGCCCGTCTGTGTCGATTTTAATTAGACAAAAAAATCTCCGAATCTACCGAACCGATTCTTGTCAAATTTTATCTTATTATTTATTAATATTATTTGATGATGTCACCTAAAAATGGTTAATAGTAAATGTTGTTTAAATTTTATAAAATAACATATTCCTGTAGGTGTGGTTTATAAAGCTGCCTCGATTCTTTAAACATTCAGATTTTTGAAAAAAAAACACAAAAAGCTGTATTTGTTCGCCTGTACTTCAGTAGCACGGGAAATCTGTCTAAATAATTTGGGACCATTTTTTCTCCCCTCTTTTCTTTGCTCAACAAAAAATATTAACCATTTTTGAACTCATAATTTCATGTTTTTTTGACGTTTCATAGCTCTGGAATACGAAAGTTTAAGTTTTCCGGTGACATAATTTCAAAATTTTATTTAATAAATCTTACTTCAAATGTGTCACTGTCATATGACAAGTTGTTTTATCAACTACCGATTACCATAAACAAAATAAACTTTTTATATTGTCTAAAAGAATTAAGAAATAAGTTCATCCTGAAAATTATCGCTTATTCAAGACAACGGACGATCAGTTGAAAAAGTCATCAAGTTGGTGTTGATTTGTTGTAAACATTGTGACGTATGTCTACAATAACCTCATTTTTTTGCATAATACAATTAACGCTTTTCAACGAGTCTGTCAAATGTGGATTATACACAACAGTATGGTCTAATAAAACACATGCATTTTTCCCTATATTTTCTTACGTTAAAAAAGCATCGCCAACTTGATAAAGTGTTCAAATGAACACTTATATAAAGAGTGAAAAGTAGAGACGTTCCTCGATATCTCATTAATTCTTAGAAGGAAAAAAAAGTCGAATATCGAAGTTGTACGGGTCTAAAAAATAGATTTAACTATACAGAGTGCTCTGATGAACCGCTTCTTAGAATTTACAACCATAGTTCATTTTTGAAATTCCGATGCGACATGCTGAAATTTTCAGTGGTCACAAAAAAATCGCAGTAGCGTTATTTTTAAAATCTATGCTACAATTTCGTGTACGTGTTTTGAACATTGTAAAGTTTTAGATTTTTTATGAATACTCTGTGTATTAAAAGTTATTTATTCCTTCACAAAATATTGTAACATAGATTTTAAAAATAACCCTATTGTGATTGTTTTGTGAGCCCTTACATTGCCAAAAAAATCGAAAAAGAATATGTAAAAATATATAGGGTGTTCTGTTTAAAAAAACTAATTTCATGTTACGCCTCAACAACAAAACACTCTGTATAACTCAAAAGAATGTTAGTGTATGCTATTCAAAAAACCTACAACTTAGGTGTATAACTCTTGTCTATCTCTAATAATTAATAAGATTTCGAGAACAGTGAGTTCAGTGACTCATCCTGTATATTCATTTGATTTCCCTATAATTTTGTCAGAACAGTAGGATTATTCTTAATTTTTAGAATATGGAGGAAGTCTGAGAGAGGTTTCGAAAAATGAAAGAAAAGTAGTCTAAATAAATTTGGAATAATTTTTAGACAGAAATTCCCGCGCCCCTAAAGTACAACAAACAAATCCAATGTCTCAGATATTTTTATGATAATCCCTATGGGTTAAAATAATAATAGATATAGAATAACGATGAAAACAATATAATAAGTACTAAAAAATTGGTCGAAACTTGTTTCGACAGACCTTCGGAAAGTAAAAGTCATCGAGTTGGCTTTGATTTTTTGCAACCATTGTGAAATATGTCTACAATAATCCCGTTTTTTTGTAAAAATTACCCCTTTTCACAACTCTGTCAAATGTCGATTATACACAGCGTCTTTCGCTACGTTTTCTTCTGTTAAAAAAACAACGCTAACTTGGCCTTTTCAAGTCAACACTCATTATATAAACAGTACAAGGTCAGTCACTAGGCCCGCCTTCCTTGAAATCTCAGAAAATATAATTCTTAGAAATAGAAAACGTCAAAAACCAAAGTTCTACGGTTCTTGGAAGACTATACTTCAAAATTAGTTTTAACTATACAGAGTTAAGAGTTCTGTTGTTAAGGTGTAATATGAAACACCCTATATATTTTTACATATTTTGATTAATTATTAACTCCTTCTTAGACATTACATCCACAGTTCATTTTTGAAATTCCGATGCGACGTCGCCACATTGTTCAAATTTTCTTGAAATTTTTGAGAGATAAAAAAGGCACATGCTTTGTTTTGGTATACCTAAATAAAATTGAAATTTCATATGCAGAGGGTTTAAAAAAATAATTACTACAATTTTCAAATTTCGATATTTCACTTTTTTCATATAGAACACCATGTATTTTATTACTGCATAAAATTCAACTTTTTATTCTCTTTCTTTTTTATTGATCACTTTCTACGTTTTTTTTTACTTTTTTCGCCATATTAGAAAAATAAGAACAAAAAATAGAGTAAGATACTTTAATAAAATACAGGCTGTTTCATAAACACTCTATAGATTAAAATGTGATTGAATTGGTACCACACCAAAGGTACCTTTGTTTATTGCGATTATTTTACTGAATGCTTCCACTGCCAAAAAATTCAAGAAAATCGAAGTAACATGGCAACGTTGCAATGAAATTTCGAAAATAAACCATGGTCATCAAATCTAGGAAGAAGTAAGCGTATGTAAAAATACTTACGCCGTTCTATTTAAAAAAACTACGTTGAATGCTATGCCTTAAAAACAAAACGCTCTGTATAACTGAAAATAATTTTAGTATATGTTACTCAAAGAACCTTACAACTTTGATCTGTAACTTGTTTGCAATCTCTAATACTTATATTAAGTGTATAACAAGGACCTCGAGCATAGTGATACACCCTGTATATTCATTTACTTTTCCCATAATTTTGGCAAAAGAATAGGTCTATTTTTAATTTTAGAATTTGTAAAAAGTTTGCGAAAGTTTTAAAAAATGAAAGAAAATTAGTCTAAAAAACTTTGAATTAATTTTTCGATAGAACTTCCCGTGCCTCTAAAGTACAAAATGTCTCAAATACTGTGTAAAATTTAATTTTACAAATTTTATTTTTTCATGATAATCTCTGTGAGTTTAAATAGTAATAGGTACAGAAGCTTAATTAGACACTTGATTGCATCTAAATTTTTAACACGGCGTTAAAGCAGCACGTGACCGACTCTACGCCAATCAGACGTCGCTAAACGCCTCGTGAAATGCGTGATTAACTTATTCTCAGTTAAAATATTGTATTAACTGTCATATAAAGGTATGTTATTTTTTATTTGATCAATAAAACAAATTGCTTCATTGGTTTTCTTGGGACATCCTGTAGGTATAAATAATTCTGAAAATTATGAGAACTACAACGAGAGATCAAAGGACTTTAGAAAGTTTGTCTTTGATCGTTGATTTTCAACTTAAACTTTCAAATTGACGGCAATCTCAAAAGACGAAAATACTATCAAAGACAAATATTTTTATAGTTTTTATTTCCGATGAGGGGATGAACAGGTAAATATTAATTAGCGATTTACCACGTATATTATAATCCTGAGGAGTTTGCAAATTTTAAAGCAATCGGTTCTTTAGTTTCTAATGTTCTTTCACAATAACTTTGAAATTGTTTCCAAAATTCAAAAGCAATATAGGATTAATAAATCATAAGCTCAGAAGCGTATCATTTAATAACAATTATATCATTTAGCTACATTTTAAGATGTCGTAATCAAACTGTTGGTGGGGATGATTGATTAACCTTTTACGCAATATTCCTAAAATACACCTAATGTTTCACAACAATCGGTGCAGTAGTTTTGGAAATTTTCTAATGAGAATCGATTAGACGACAAATCGACGATAAACTGCAAAGACAAAAATAGAAAGGGGATAAATCTTTCTTGAAAGATTCCGTTTTATATTACTAGAAAGCATAAAGTCGCAACTTTAAGTCTTAAATATATTAAGATTTTTGTCTGTTTTTATTAGAGATGTACCGACTACAGTCGGCCGATTGTTTATAAATGCAACAGACAGTGGTTTTTTTTTTTTTCTATTTCTCTGACTACCTTAAAAACTTGTTTTATTTTAATAAAAGGAATAACTGAAGTTTCTTTTTTTTCCAAAAAATGTGTTAAATTTTTTTGGATAATTTTAACATTTAATTTTTTGTAGTAACTCAGTTCAAAAATAAAGAATAACACAATTTAGGGCAGTTTATACAATACTTAACCAATTTTAACCACTTTTTTGGAAAATTTTTGGAAATTTTAAATTCGCTTTGCGTGTTTATTGAACCATATATCGTGACGGCGATTACAGAATCGTAACTATAGCGGAAGATTATCTACACTTTGACACCAATTTTCGGTCGATTAAACTAATTTTAACCGGTTTTGACAAAGCCGACTAGTCGGCCGACTGCAGTCGGCACATCTCTAGTTTTTATTTTTGCTGTCCCTAATCATTGATTACAAATTTTATATTATACAAAAATATCAACATAATTACGAATTTCGGGAGCTGTGTACCAAATTCTAAAAAAAAACTTTAAAATTTCTAAAATCAAAATAGTGACAGTTCTATGTACAAACTAAAGTAGTTATTTGTCACTAGTCCGAAAGAAGATCCTTTGTCAAAGAATTTTCTGGAGGAGCAACACATTTTTTGAATCAATTTATAATTTTTTTAATAAATAAAACAATAATTCACACATTATTATGACAACATTTCTAATATTTAGGAAAATTTTGATGTTTGAGTGGCAGCACTGTCTCATTTTTATCATTCATTTCGATTTAGTTATATTTCAGCTGAACATAGTTTTTTTCTAAAATCTACAGAGTTGTTATGTTTTTAATGAATAAAATAACTGGTTTTTGGTCATATTTTTACCTTAATTGAGCGTTTGTTGATGTTTAAACGCAAAATATTGAGACGTCTAGGCGGATTTAGGTGTCTCCAAAGGCAAGAAAAACGGGTGGAAGCCCAAAAAATTATTTCAGGATAACCTTTCAAATATAGCATACAGAGACCAATAGAGGAATTTGGTCGCAGTGGATCTATCACTTGAAAAACTGATTAAATAACAAGTTTAGAACGTTTTCTTTTACTAAAGCATATTGACGCTGATTAGTAATGATTTTTTATTTATTATTAGATTTTCTGTTTATATTATACCGGCGCATCCACCAGATTTGACACAGCTACAATACATCTTGACCAACACTTCTTACAGTTAAAGATATGCTAATAGAATAATAATATTAATCATTATAATAATAATAAAAATAAGATAATGTTTAAACATGATTATTTCTCCGTATTCCAATCACGTCGTGTCAAGGATATCCGCGAAATTTCCATTTATCGCCCTAAAAGTCAAAAGTCAATCCGTTCGTCCCTCGTAACAAACCTAAAATATTAAAACTTTGTAGTAACGCAGTCGGAAGCCCGAGCTTTTAATACCGGAAAATATGAATTCCCTTCAGCGTGTCAATTTGGCCCACGACGCTTTATTAACGACAATGAAGAAGTCAGGAAGATGGTATCCTCTGTCATAACCCAACCACTCCCCATCCTGGTACACGCTGGTACCTATACTTCCAGCTTTTAGCTTAAAAGCTTTTTGCACTTTGCTTACGTGTTACTTAATTTCAGTAATTGGTCGCAGAATAACCGTTTTTAGCCAGACAATAGCCCCGATAAGATTTATGGTGTTCATTTAGAAAACATTAAGGTCGACGTTGCGTCAATTTCACAAAAAACAAACTATCGGAATTGTCGGGGGTTAAACAATGGCTGTTTTCAAGGCACTTTGAAAGCTCGTAAAAATTTCTGGAAATAGTGAGACGCGTAAACTTTTCCGTTTTATGAGAAATTTTGCTGTTTTGTTACGGATGAATAAAATTTCGACGAAATTGCAGTTTTATGCGCCGGTTCTTCGAAATAAAAATATTCAATCGAAAAGGTTTCGTAGTTGTTTATAACGGAAACCGGCGGTTTATTACTTTTTGCTCATATTTTATGAAGAATTTCCTTTCATCATTCTTTGGACAGAAGTGCCACACAGGATGATATTACGCCCCAGATTTTTCACAAAGTTTCTGGCATTTTAAAACAAAACCGAAAATATGTAAAATTTTCCATGGTCATAATTGTTTACTACTAATAATAATAATAAATATAACAATAATTAGTTGTTAACTCGCTTTTATAACTCCTTCAGTAGCCCATGAAATTTGTTTTTAAAATATTGATATGATCGAATAAAAAAGTTGTCTTCGAAATTTACTGGTTTCTTGAAGAAGAATATAAGAAAAAATTATAGGAGTATTAAAAACAACTCCTTTGGAACAACGAGCACTGAAATGAACCTCCAGACGTTTGACAAATCTTCCCGCTCAAACCCGCCTTTGTTTCAGAACCCCTGTCCGGAATCTCGACTCTCAGCCCGGACTTCCCCCCTCCCAGCCAATCAGACGAGTCCGGTCGCGATCCCAACCAACCGGGCCGCAAGAAGCGCTCTCGCGCTGCCTTCACGCATGCGCAGGTCTTCGAGCTGGAACGTCGATTCAGTCAACAGCGATACCTCAGCGGTCCTGAAAGAGCCGACTTGGCCCAGGCCCTCAAGCTCACCGAGACCCAGGTGAAGATCTGGTACCAGAACCGGCGCTACAAGACGAAACGGAAACAGCTCCAGATGCAGGAGTCGTCGATGTTGAGCCAGAACGCGCGCAAAGTGGCCGTCAAGGTCCTGGTGAAGGACGACGTGCCGCTGTTCCTCCAGCAAAAGGCGCCCGTGTACCAGAAGGGCTTCTACGGGGAGCCCAAGACGGACTTCTTCATCTACGACCAGCTGAGCAAAGCGAAGTATCCGAAGAGTCTGCACGAGAGTATGTTGAGTTTGTGCCAGCAGTACTCGAACTCGATGCAGTTGTTCCCGTATTTTAATTACTACCACCCGGCGATTGTGGGGGGGATGGGGCAACAGGAGGAGGAGGGGGAGGGGCGGGAGCAGAATTAAAGGGGTATGGGTGGTGAGTGCGGCTGTTTTTTTGGGGTAGGTGGACGGGAGTGGTGATGAATGCACGAATTTGAGTTTCTGGATGAAAAAGGAACAGTTATTATTAAAAAAATAAATAAGTAAGTATATAAATTTATACACAGGGTGGCTCAATAGCCCAAGTCAAGTCAGCTCAGGTTATATTAGGTTAAATATGGTCAAGGCAGTTTCTGGATATTTTTTTTAGATTTTTTATGTAAAAGGAAAAAAGATCTTTTGAGTAAAATTACAGAATATGAAGGAATTTAGAAATTTTAAATGTAATTTTTTTAAATGCAAAAAATATGCTGAACATTTTTATTCAAATATCATTTTTAAAGAAATTTATGCTTGTGAGAATATATAGGTGTTACGTTTAAAAAATGCACCCAGTGTATGTAACTTTCAAGTGAAACATCCAGTATATTTGAAAATAATTTTAAACTGATTTTTTCGAAAACGTAATATACCTTTTTTGTTTTTTATGAGTTTCCATGATTATTTTTAAATTTGCTATACAAAAAATTTCTGTGGAGTACCTATAGATAACAAATAATAAAATCCATACAAATGTAACTTCACTTATAATTTTTCTTTTTGTGGTTTTTATATACAGGGTGTGTCACTAAGTGCGCACTCCTCGATAAGTCATTAATTATTGAAACAGGGAAAAATTTAGACTAAAGTTGTATGATTTTTTGAGTACCACACACCAAAATTATATTCAACTATACAGAGTGTTCAACAAAACGCACACCTTGTTTTTTTTTTTAATAACACCCTATGTTACATATTGATTGGCGTCCTGCGAAACTCCGAAGCCATAGTTTATTTTTGAAACTGAATTGCGACGTTGCCACGTTATTCCATTTTTTTATTTTTCAGCAACAAGTACTAAGATTTTCAAAAAAAAACACAATAAAGTTATTTTAAAAATTTGTCTTACAACATATTGTAGAAATATAAACAAAAGTACGCACTTTATTATGGTATCAATAAAATTGAGTCTTAATATACAGAATGTTTAAAAAAAAATTAAACATTACAACTTTTTAAGTATTTTATACCACGTGTTTCTTTTATTTGTTCGAACACTTGTCATTTTTTATTTTTAAAACCAATTTTGAGCAAATTTGTATCATTTTAAAAGATCACGTACGTGAATAAATGACATGAGTGTCAGTTTTTCAAGCTACTAGATTGTCATCAATAAATATAAATTTTTCGTCTATTTTATTGAATAACTTTTTAAGTGTTGGTTTTTGGAATATTGGTTGCTTTTGATTTTTTAGAAAAAAATCAATCTTTCCATTTATGAAAAAATATACCTAGTGTTAGATAAAAAAAATAAAGTTGACGTCATTTCTGGTTTTACCGGAAGTGATAATAAAAATTATACAAATTTGATCAAAGAACTATCTATCTTTACGAATAAAAAAGTTACAGGGGTTGTATCAAATAAAGAAACACCCTGTATAGGTGTCATATTTAAAAAATGCACTCGTAGTATGTAACTGTCAAGTGAAACATCCTGTATATTTGGAAATAATTTTATACTGATTTTTATTTTATTTTATTTAATTTTTTATGAATAAATACCAAGGTTCACAAAAAATCACAATAGGGTTATTTTTAAAATGTACGCACTTTGTTATGGTATCAATAAAATTGGATCTTAATATACAGAAGTTTATCAAAAATTGTTTTAAATATTAGTTTTTTTTTTTAATTATTTTCTATATTTAGAGGTGATACTTTCTGCGATTTTTCATTGTTTTAAGAGACACAGCTTTGTATTGAAAGAAAAAAGAGAACAAAAAACAGAGTTAGATGCATAATAAAACACAGGGTGTCCTATTTGAATCAAACTGAAATATCAATATTTGAAAATTGTAATGTTTTAGATTTTTTATGAACACTCTGTATATTAAGATTTAATTTAATTGATACTACAACAAAACGCATAACCTCTGTCTGTGCCTCTCCATACTCTTACAACATTAATGTTAAAAATTTAAACTCTGCGATTTTTTTGTGAACTCATCAATTACTAAAAAATCAAGAAATGTAGAATTTCAAAGATGAATTAGAGTTATTAAGCTTAAAAAATTACCCACGAGAACATTTAACAATATATAGTGTTCTATTTAAAAATAAAATAAGTTGTTATATTACATCTCAAAAGCAGAACACTCTGTATAGTTGGAAATAATTTTAGTGTTTTCTGCTCAAAGAATTATACATCGGTAGTCTTCAACTTTTTACTTCCCGAGCGTAATCGAAGGAAGTATTGTAATCGAGTCCGTCGGGCGACTCTCTACTTTACGTTTTCTCGACCTTTCGTGACCCCTAGAGTACGAATAAATAGATCTCCTGTTTCCGTCTGTGTGTGCGTCTGTCTGTCCGTCTGTCTGTCCGTTTGTCCGTCCGTCTGTCTGTCGTTCCGATTTTTTTTTAATTTCAAATAACTAATGAGATATCGAGGACCGCGCACTCTGTGCATCAGTGAACAAGAAAATAGCGAAAAACACATGGGCTATACAGAGTGATGAAAAAATGACCGATAAACCCGATGGTACATTGTTAAGAAGGTGCTGAAGAACTGGAAAAAGTGGTTAAAAAAATCAATGAACCAAATTTTTAAAAATATTAAACTTCAAAGTTGAATAATTACCTTTTCTAGTTTTGATTTGTTTCAATGTGAATTTAATTGACATCTGTCAACAGTAAAAAATGACATGCAATTCATTAAAACAAATCAGACTTAGGGCCACTTTGAAGTTTTTTAAGCGTACTTTCAACCAGTTGACAAAATAAAATAAGATTTTCATCTCACAGCAAATAAATTAAGCCAATGAAATTCAAAAGCGGAGGTGGCTGGGGTTAGTTCTACATTTTTTATGACGATTTCGTTATTTATCGATATAAAATTCACTTTTCGTCAAATAAAATGATGATTGATAAATACGGGTGGGTGGGCGGAGCGACTTTTGGTTTTTTAAGCGTATATTCGACCAGTTGACAAAATAAAGTTTAATCTTTATCTCACGGCAAATAAAATAAATGGGACTACTATTTTTTTATGCAGATTCCACTATTTGTTAATTTAAGATCTAATTTTAGTCCAAAAAGAACGCGGGGGGTGGGTGGGGCCACTTTGAACTTTTTTTTGTTTTAAGCGCAGATTTGATCAGTTGACAAGACAAAATTTGATCTTCATGTCACAGTAAATAAAATAAACCAATGAAATTCAAAAGTGGAGGTGGGTGGGGATAGTCTTACATTTTTTTATGCAGATTCCACTATTTATCAATATAAAATCCACTTTTCGTCCAATAAAATAAGTGATTGAGAAGAATACGGGTGGGTGGGCCACTTTGAAGTTTTTTAAGCGTACCTTGAACCAGTTGACAAAATAAAATTCAATTTTTATCTCACAACAAATAAATTAAGCCAACGAAATTCAAAAGCGGAGGTGGGTTCAACTTTTTTTTTTTAGTTTAATATTTTCAAAAGTTTGATGCACGGAACTTTTTAACAATTTTTTTTCGTGTTCTTCAGCGCCTTCTTGAAAACGTTATTTTTTCATCACCCTGTATACTTACATTTTACGTAAAGATTATTGTATTTTCTCTTCATTTGTGTGGATAGTAGATACAATAAAAGACACTGTTTCTACTATAATGAAATATTTGAATTAAAATATTTGTCCATGATTTTATGATAAAAAGAATATTACTAATGCTTTTAAAATATACTGAAATACATTAAAACGGTTATATTTTCCAATAATTTGAATATACAAGGTGATTACAAAGTATCGTACATCAAGTTGATTTTGGAAAATCTGTGACTACATTTTTAATAAAAATTTACCATTTCTTTGAGATGGATATCAAAGCTGTTATTCGAGCTGAATTATTGTTTGCCTATCTGTTACGAGAACAGAAACTGTCTAAAAAATCAGGTTCTGAGATATGTCAACGTGATGCACGATATTTTATTATTATTATTATTATTATTTTAACGCTTAAGGCCATACCATTTCGTTTCGCTTGAAAATTTTTTCAGTTCGCCATGAAAATGTATACTCACAGTTATCCACTGACTTTAAATTTTTATATGATTAAGTTTTTCCAAAACAAAAATAAATATGTATTGATTTGATTTTGGTTTATAAAACACATACATAAAAACAGTTTTAAGACATGACTTCAGAAGTTATTTTATTATTTAAAGTAAAAAAAAATTGTGAGTACCTATATGTGTGAATTAAAAATCTCCGAAAAACAAAAATATTTTAGAATCTCGTCAGTCCTAACAACCACTCAATTTTGAGCCACAAATCTAAGTCAAACTGACTATTTTATGGCAAATATGTTTTATGAACCGATTCCTTTACGAAACCCAGAAACTGAAACTCGTCACGCACACATTTAGCCCAGCATTTAGCATTTCTGTGCCGTAATTCGAGTCCTAGCTCACTCCGACACATCAGAACCCAGTTGAAATTGACACATCACTCATCCCAAAATAAAACCGTCTTTTCGATGAACGTATTTCCAGCCAAAAAAACAGCCGTATAGATGTCATCGCAGGTTTTTTACGACAAATCACTCTAGTACTTAGATTCTGTTCCACATTATGTTGACTGAAGCACGTTTATTAGTTTTAAGTTATTTTCATAGCGAGTGCAATAATTTGATATCTAACCAAAGTAATATTGTGTTATGTAAATATCACTGTATTATAATGTAAATAAATAAATCGGCTATAACTCTGTGTTTAATCCCATAAAATCCGTAAACCCATCGATGATGCAGTCGCCCATTCTACAGGATGTTCTTAATGAAATATTGTTCTCGTTTATTTTCGTTGTGTACCTATGTTAGTGGCCCATTAATAAATATTTATAATAAGAGTGTTCTCCAGTCAAGTGTTGTGCACATGGTAACACTCATAATTTAAGTGTAAACAATATG